TATATGACAACATTCATTACCCGACATGGAGGAAATTCAACTATATGACAACATTCATTACCCGACATGGAGGAAAGTTATTCTTTACTATAAACCAATGTAAGCATGACAACATTCATTACCCGACATAGATGAAAGTTATTCTTTACTATAAACTAATGTAAACATGCCACACGAGACAATCGTTAATATAAAATCACTCAGATAAAAAAAGATTAAACCACCACAATATTGGATGATAATTATCATCGACCTTTGAAACCCTTACAATGAACCAGGGTCATAATGCAAATTAAGCCGTGTTGTTTATTGCATCTTTAATATCTGTACTCTTCTACAGGTGCATACATAACTGTACTACGGTTTATGATTTTCCAAATGCATTTTAGCTTGTATTAATTCATGCAGTTCGCAAATAACCATTATGGAAAACTTTCTATTTCAATCAGAGATAATTATTTTTTTTTCTTTTGAATACAATTGTTTATGTAAATAGTAATAACTGTTTCTCTCTCTCTCTCCACACAAAGAAGTCAATTACTCATATTTTACCAACCCCGTGTTATATGTATATTTCGTTACCTAGTTTTTCCTTTTATGTATGAATACATTATATACTTGTGGTTCAACTTTGCCAACTCTATACAACAATGTTTTCGTAACAGTTATCTAAGGTTTCAAAGTTTTTCAAATGCTAACTGCAGTGCGTAGCTGTAGAACTAATTAACAAACAGTAAGATTTAAGATAATGTTTCAATATTGTAAGTCAATAATACGTTGTCGATTGCAGCTGTCATATTTATTCTTATCCATGCTGTTCTATACAGTACTAATAACGCTCGTATACTTTATAGTTTGCTTCTCAGAAAATAAACTCATTTTAGGTAGATTGGGTGTGTTATACAATTTTATGTATTTAACACTATGATTACATTTATTTTCTTTATATCCGGAATCTGAGCAAACATTATTTTTAATATTTACGTAACCTTTTTAAACGTTTCTGTATACGGTGTATAGTATAAGAAAAACAACTCCTTAACTTTTATATAAAAAAACAGCAAAAAAAAAGAAACCGGTATTGGTTCATTTAATTGTATGATAAAAACCACAATAAACGTTAATATATGTATGCAGTTTTCTTGGAACAAAGTATAAAAAGAATGTGTAAAGTTCTTTATTTGTTTAAGGCGTGAGTTATGTAAAATATCAAGCAATCAAAGTGTTTGTTGACCTCATCATGATTCCAAATTTACCTACTTGCAATAATTTGTTCTTTATAGATAAGGTATAATAGGATCACAATTCGTTGTAATTATAAAATAATGCCCAAGAAAATAATTACGGTCAAAATAAATAGGGATTCTAGTTACATTGTTAGAAACAAGTCTAAAGAAAAACTGATTTGAAATTTTTCATAATATGTTTGTTTGTTTGTAATTAAGCATAAAGCTACTCAATGGGCTATCTGTGCTCTGCCCACCACGGGTATCGAAACCCGTATTCTAGCGTTGTAACTTCGCAGAAAATACCACTGTGCCACTGGGGGGCTTCTCATTATAAGCAATATTGTAGTTCTACAGAATTCAAACGTTTACAGTTTTAAGAGGGAAACATATTAATTTGTTGTTGTTGTTTTTTTTGGCAGCACATAATTACGGGCCTACTTTAAGTCCACTTGTCGGAACATTAGTCGGAGTTGTTCTTACTTTAGTTTTTGCCTGTGTGATTATCATAGTATTCATGAAACTTCGAGGACAGTTTTGCCAAAAAGGTAGGAATTATTACAAATGTCTCTTATTTCTTACATATTCAAGAAGATGTCTGTACGATGTGTGTTACATCAAATTTCATGGAAAACAAACTGTGTACTTTTAAAAAATGACATAATTGAAATAAATGAAACTTAGCCTCTGATCATTACTAACGATGTAGTTATCTGGGGCAAAATGTTAAAATATACTTGCACAATAAGAACTGCTCTTATATTTTTTGCACAATGGATACTGATCTAATATTTTTGATGTTGGACACTACTCTAATATTTTTCACAAGTATATCTAGATTAAGCCATTGAGTTAAGAGACGATAATCTTATATATAATGTTCTCATACTTGGAAAAACTAACGATGTGCTGAAATGTTTTTAGAAAAGTAAAATACAAGTATAATGTTTGGTATAAAGTCACTGATAGTTTATGGTTTATTTTTTTTTTCGTATCAATGTTTCAAATATGTGGAGTATTTTATTATTCAAAATACAAACAAAATAGATCATTCAAATTTTACTTTGTGCTTAATTTTATTTTGTAATTATTTAGTAAAGTGCAATACAACTAGTTTAGTTTATTTTTGAAATTCGATAAATAGTACATTTTTGGTAAAAGTTTTGAGTTCTATGCTCATAAAAAGGTCGCGTTCTTTTGTATGTTCTAAGTCAGTGTTTCTCAACCCAAAAGCTCCTATGCCCCTGTAGATATTTTGAAAATTTCACTGCGCCCCGACATGCACACTTAGAGACGCCCATAGCGAAAGGATTGAGGTTAATTGCAGGAAGCGGATCAAAAAGGAGGAAGAAATTGATAAATTATTTTTTTTTTAGTTTTGGTGAAATATTCGTACAACATTTCGCGCCTCGGCAAATAATGATCCGTGCCCCTACAGTTGGGAAACACTGTTCCAAATAATATTTAATGCAATGTGTGATTATACTCAAAATAACTCTGTAGTAAGTACTTGCTTGAACTCAACTTGACCTTTTTCTAATAAACAGATGCGACTAAAAAAAGAAAACACAAATTATTAATGTCTATTACCAGTTGGTGTCTAATTGCATTAACATCTACATATTTTAGTAATGTTTGTTTTTTGAATTTCGCGCAAAGTTACATGAGGGCTATCTGCGCTAGCCGTCCCTAATGTAGCAGTGTAAGACTAGAGGGAAGGTAGCTAGTCATCACCACCCACCGCCAACTCTTGGGCTACTCTTTTACCAACGAATAGTGAGATTGACCATTACATTATAACACCCACACGGCTGAAAGGGCGAATGAACATGTTTGGTGTGACGGGGATTCGAACCCGCGACCCTCAGATTGCGAGTCGAGCGCCGTAACCACCTGGCCATGTCGGGCCATTTTAGTAATGTTTATTAATTTAAAAGGCCTAGCATAACCTAGTGGTTAGAACGCTCGATTCGAAATCAGAATGTGGTGAAGTCGAGTCCATCTCGCTAAACATGCTCGTTTTATATGATTGCCGACTGGGCCAGCCACCTAGCGTACAAATTAGCGTACAAAAATATCGGCCTACCCCAAACTAATTGAGATTAAGGTTGTAATGGAGAGGGGGAATAAGAAATTGAATATCGGAGCGTTTTTAAATATATCTGTTTTTAGTGTAACATAAACCAAGGCTAGATCTTTTCGCATATATTAAAGTTTTTAACGCATGTTATAAAAGCACAAAGGCAACTAAACTTATATATAAAATACCCTTTTCTTGTAGTAAAATGTTGGTTGTATGCTTTTTGAAAGAATATATATGTATGTATATATATATATATTAGAATTTTAATAAAGATAGGAACAAACAAAATTATGTAAGATAACGTAAAATGATTTATGGTTATAATATATACTAAGTGTTGTGTCTCAATGAACATACATATATGCATTATTTGGTTATTGCTTATAAAAATCTAAGCAGGCACTTCTTTCATTTATTTTACAGAATCTAAAAGACCTGTTGCTGACAAGTAAGTTTTACTGTTTTATTTTAAGAAACAAAATCACTTTGTCATCCATCCATTGAACATCGTTGAGTGGCAAAATTTGGAATGTCTTACTGGAGTTTGTTACAGCATATCTAAATCTCTCCAGTATGTCCTTCAAATTCTGGAAAACAACAAACTTTTTTAACTCGTACACTAGTGTGTGTGTCTTTATTGAATTTTCTATTCAAATAATAGTTTATACTTTATATATAACAGCGAAGTAGAATGAAATTTTAATCACCAGTTTTTTTGTTTTTTTTCAGTAAAGCGATAGAGCCTGAAGATTAAAACAATTCTAATAACACAGTAACTCTACTTTTGTGTCTGTAAAAATTAAATGCATTGTTACGTTGTAATAATAAGCTAAATAACTAAAATAAACTATAAGAAGGAAAATGTTACTAGTTTGAATTAAACATTCGTGAAACAGCAACTGGAAATAAAATACTGTCTATTCAGTTTATGTTAGGAATTCATGAACTAAACAAAAAGATCTTTCTAAAGCCAATGCTTCTTAAGAAAGACATTTGAGGTATAGGAACAGAACCTGTTTTTGTTTGCTCTTTATGATATATTTAATCAATGTGACAAATTTCAGTCACTTTTATTAGGCATAACGTCTTTTTATCACAGCGTACAACCAATGTACAAATAATTCTTTTATATGCTTCAATCAACCTGAATCTACTATTTTAATGGGTTCAAGAGGAATATCCAGGCTTTTCTGACTTATATGCTAGATTATCTGAGAGTGTTACCAATTGGTCGGCTGTATAACGTTTGTTTTATTTTTCTTGTTTTTGTGTGTGTTGCGTATCACATTTTATTGTGATCTTCTTCTCTGACGTAATAGGTGATGGCAGATCAATCGGTATTAGAGAGCCTTATAACTCTAATGAGGTACTTTAAATGATAATTATGCTCTCCTTTTCATCTTTAAGTGGCTTGGTGTCCACAAAACGTAATTGTACTGTATTGCAGCTTCTGAAAATGGTTCTAACTCTACGATGTTTTCGTATATTTTGTACATTTTCAATGATACGTTTGACATAAGGAAATGTGGTTGTGCGTAATAATTTCTGTGCTTCTCAGTCTTGGAAATTTCTTTATTGTCTTCTTTATGAAATGTTCATAACATTTATTGTCAAGAAGTGATGCATTTTTCTTTATTCACATTGTTGTCCCATTTTTAGAATGGTACGTCAATAACTTTAGAACATGCCCCGTTCAGAATATTATTTTTGACTGATTAGAAATTCCAAGCAGATTTATATGGAAAGTGCCAGTGGACAGTTTTTGGATAAAATTTATTTCACAGTGACGTGACGAAAGAAATGGTTTCCGAAAACTGTCCACATATAGTTTCTGAGATATTTATACAATTTAAATATTCACCGAAAATACAATGAATGCATTATTTAGAAATTCTGAATGTAACATTTATACAAGAAGTGTATAATTAACGTACTGACAACATTTTTACATGTATGTTGAATGCTTTAATTATGCTGCTGTTAATACATTGAACAAAATGAATGTTCATTTGCATATCTACTAAAAACACCGAGGGTTCTCTCCACATATACTCAGTTAATTACCAAAATAAACTGGGAGAACAGTGTGTTATACATATTGCAACAATTAAATACCGAGTGTTTCAGAAATTATCTTATAGGCAAATAATTCAGAAATGGAAAGATATAGCAAAATAATTATAAGTGGTTTGGAATGAGGCCTTGTAGTGCTACCTTAGGACAGTATTGTTGAGATCATACATCACATTAAAATGCCTCATGTACCAAAATGTTACTTGTAAATGTGTACACAATAACAAAAGGAATCATTTTAAATAAAATAAAAAATATCGCAAATCCTTTTACAACAACAACAGTTTAATTCACACCTGACTTTCTTCTCCACTGGCCTGAAAACCTCTGTAGCAATACTGGTCCAAGATTGTGTTGTACTAATGCTAAGGTAAGACTGAGCTGTTTTGGATCTCAATATGACACTGGATCTAAACCTACAAACACATAAACTTATAGGTGATATATATAAATAAAGGAGTATTCCCTTATCTTTAACTTACAGAGCATAATAAAAATTTAATGATCAGGAAAGTGATAAAGTAAAGTAATAAATTCAGATAAAAGCTTTAAGAAAAAATGCATTTATTGCGAGTTTCATGAGTGGTAATTCGGCATTTCCTTGTTATTTGACGTTCATCTAGGGAAATTTGGTGGGGCGACAACATGAGTGGCTGGATCAGATCTCTTTGCTATGGCTGTCCAATTCTTGATTTTCAGAGTATTTGGTGAAACACTTTTGTCATCATTACATTTCACAATTTTGAACAACCACTCCAAGACTCAATCAGCTTATCCAATTGTGTTGGCTGTCGTGATCACTTTGTTGGAGGAATTGTTAACTTGAATGGTGGACAACTACTAGGAAAATTGTGGTGTTAAGTGGTTATTTTGAAACAAAATATAAATAATGTTTACAGGCTGCTAATTATTAGAATACCCTGTGATTGGATTCCTATGTGTATATGGAAGAGTAATTTTATGATTTATCCACAGTGCAATTCGTCACTCAAGTTCAAAAGTTCCCAGTACTGACAATAGATAGATTCTGGTAGGTCATGTTTCATCTCTCAGTGAAGACTATTGCTTTCTATCACCTCTTTAGCACTGCAAATAGTGAGGTCATAAGCTAAGAAACGGGATTATTAAAAATAAATCTTTGCTCATAATCAGCCTTAATTGCTCAAAAGTCTAGTTTGTGAAATGAGATTATTACAGTTATAGTAATATGTTATAATTCTCTGACCTATTCCATGCTGGCCTTAATTAGGCAGACTGTTATTACCACTGCTAAAGACTGTACTAGCAACTACAAGAGTTGCTACAGTTTGAATTCATCGGACTAATGTATGAGCTGAGCTATTTTCCCATCCTGTATTTATGACTATTCAGTCATACGTATTCATGGTATAATTGATGGCATAAGATTTTGCTCTTCACTGAATCTTCTGAACAACCCATAAAATATACGATATTTTTTATATTTATTGTATATATTAATGGCTTAATACACTTCTTCAGTCATGTATTTTCTGATACTGAAAGCACAACAGCATTCCTTCATTATCTCTCTCTTACTCCCCACCACTTTGTTGTGAATTTCACGTCCATCATTCATTCACAATATTTTTAAATGAAGTTCTATTATAAAGTACAAATAATTAGCTTGTGGTCTGTTGTTTATTTCAGCCTGTTGCTTACAGAGCATGTCTGTGCCTGATAGAGTAAACCACCACAACATTGTTGCTGGAGGTGGAGAGTTCAACATACTGCAGTCATACCCCTTCAATAGTGCATGGCTAAGTAAACAAACGATACAATATAAATTTAGTAAAAGCATCAAAAAAGAGTATAAATACAAAACTACATTTACATAATACAAATTATGCCTCCGCACTTTAATTAGTGATAGTGAATTGTAACACTAAAGTGTAAGCTTAAAACACAAAAAGAATTAATTATTTAATAAATGGCGATAAAACAATTAGACAAAATAATACGATTACAAATTGTTTAGATCATCTAGCTTTTACACAATAATTGTAAAGTTTGTAAATGTTAAAATGCCCTAACTATACTGCCTGAGGAAAAATATTACAGAAATATCAATAATAAGTAGAAAGATAAATTAAATTGCAAAAACAAATAGCTTGCATTCTCGTGAGGGATAATACAATTCTTTATATATCTAACAAAAGTGGCCAGTTTAAAAGTAAGACACTTTTAATATACAGGGGCTAAGTACATATATTAGACCAAATTCTCAATACGCAGATGTAGTGGAAAGAACTATATTTTGACATTTTGTAGTGTGAGGTCATAGAATCCAATAGCTTCCAGGAAGAATATGTGACAGCCAATTCCAGTGCAATATATTTATTTGCTTAGTTTCAGGACTTATAACTGCCAAATGTGGACATTTATTTTATTTAATGAAATTGGAAACAAAGGAACATGGAGCAACATAGGTAATTGGAACCATCCAGAAAGAGACCGTCAACAAGTGTACCAGGGCCCTAGTGAGAAAAGTGCAGTGTCTTTTAAGTTAACAGGTTAAAATCCACGAACAAAAATGTCAGTACTAAAAAATCTACACATGTCCCAGGCAACAATTTACAATGTTATCATGAAACGTTTAGATTTGGAAATGAGGCAAACAAGGTGCAGATTCACCAAGGTAAGGATTCATTGAACCAGTACGTACCTTAAGCAGCTGGGAAATGAAAGGGACATTCATGCTGTTTAAGAGGAAGACATACCAGTCAAGTTGTCGCCCGCCTCAGTGCCTGTAGATTTCTGTCTGACAGGACTGTTAAAATTCGCGTTGGGAAACCGTCACAATCATACATTAGATGGCTTATAAATAATTAAAGCTTATAGAGAAGTGTGGTGTGCTTTTGACATGCCATTCTTACAGTGGAGACTTTTGCAATGGAAACTATGCTGTCACTCATATCCGGATGTGGCAACGTGGACATTAAGAGTGTGGTAAGAGTCCAAATTCATTTTATTATAACGCACTCATCCCTCTGAATGAATAGAACTAGAAGTATAGGCACAACAGTCTTGTTTCATTACTGATAAGTATTAAATATAGAAAATCAATGAGCCTAAACCTTCAAGTTGCGTCAAATATTCCATTTACATTTAGGTTATACAAGCACAAAATTAAAATTTCACTACTGCCGGTTAACTTCTATTTAACGGGAATATTGTAAAATTTCAATAGTTACGAATTATCATAGTTATATATCGCACGTTTATAAAGAAGAGCTTAAGGTAAAACTTACATGTATATATATAAACAGTGCACATTGTAAGAAACATGACGTAACAGTATGTGCTGGGTGAATTTTAAAAGTACAGGACGGTTATAAAAAAAAACCTGTTTAAAAC